AGGTGACACTTTTAATTTCCTCATGTTGTATTTTTTCAGTTTTAACCAATAACACCTTTATTGCCAGCACAACCTGTTTCCAAAGTACATGATTTTGCTTTCCAATTTATTTTCTTTCCTTTAATTTTGGCAAAAACAACTGAGAATAATAAACATGTTGCTGTTTTCACAAGTTAAAAATAAAGGTGAGAAAAATTTAATTGATTTATTGAGCAAGCCTGGTGTGGCAAAATGTAATCAGAAACAATGTTATGTCTTTGTCCTTTGCTTACCCAGACCATTGGTGATTTCTGCGGTCACTCATAGCAAAGCACCCCCTCCCCAGTCAGACAGGAGACTCCAGGACCTGTCAGAGTCCAGGGAGCCCTGACGCATACCAGTTCCTGCTCTCGAAGTAGCAAGGACTTCTCTCTGTCCCCCAGCTTGCTTGCCTGGTGCTGAATTCCTCTCTGGTTGAAGAAAGGAGGCGGATGCGGGTGAAGGGAAGCTGCCCAGGCTGCACTGTTGGAAGCTGGCTTCGTGGGAGACCCTCTTTTGCTGGCATGCTCCTGGCTTGTGTGACATCCCCTTGTCAACACAGACTCACCCCTGTTGTTCTGCCCAGGTATTCGCAGCTCTACCCTGGCCTGCTGCTCAGGATCCTTAAGTCAAGTCCCAGCCTCGGCTTCTCTCTGTCCAGTCCAGCTGTATCAGCCCCTGGACAAGACTTGAGGTCACCTGTGCTGTCCCTTTCACGTCACCTGGGTGCCATCCTGGGGATAACTGCACAAACCCTGGGAGGTACAGTTCAGTCCAGGCAGCTCTCCTGAAGGCCAGTGAGGGACACCCAGCCAGGGTCTGCAGAGTGACAGCCTTGTGTCCACACTGGCTCTGTACCTCAGAGGCACACACCTAGCTCTTGGTGGTCTGCTGATGCCCTTCTTGAGCGGGGGCTTGCTGACGGGGCGCGGGCACCCCTTACCCTCCATCCTGGTGGGCTGTCGGGACACAGGGCACACTGCCACTCCCTCTGCACACCTCCCAATCTCCCAACACCTCACATGGTATCTGAGGACAGCACTCAGGAATCCACAAGAAGACGGCCTCACTCACAAATTTCCCCATAAGGATCTCAGGCACTAGCTATATTTAACGTCCAGTTCTACAGCTGTAAAGTAAGGCACCTAGGTCTTGGTTTGTGTGGTGCAACTGGATAAACAGTGTCAGAAAAGGAAAAAGAAGTTTTCCCCTGGAGATGGAGAAGGTCTGGGCAACAGTATTTCAAAGAAGAGCACTGCAAATGATTCAGCACCTAGGAGACTTTTAATTGTACATATGGGATGGTAGAGATCAGTTAAAAGAAGAGAGAGATTTTACAAGTGAGATATGAAGATGAACACAGAAAAGATAAACTTTGTGCTACGTGTTGTGGTCTTTTTATCATACCTAAATGGTCTAGTCTGCTGATTTTAGAAATATTACATGTTTCCTGGGCAGAGATAAAGCAGTAACAGAAGAAGAGCTCCACATTTATTCAATCACGCACAATCTCCATGCTCAGCAGAAACCAAGAAAACAGTCCCTGCTTATATGACATTCACTTCTTTAGAAGGCAGGCGTTATAGTTTGTCACTAAAATAATCCAAAGACCACCTGATGGGCAGGAGGTGGTGATCAGTGCCTGAGGGTGAAAACCTCATCCGCAGATTAGCTGATGGGCTCTTAGGCGGCAGAGCCTCACTGGAGAGGGACTCGGATGAGCGTGTGCCTTGGGGGCTGTCTCTCAGCCCTGGCCCTTTCCTCTCTGGCTCTTCTCCACTTCTCTCTGCTTCCTGACTACCACGCGGTAGGCAATTTTCTTCTACCAGGTCCTTCCACCATGATGTTTCTGCCTTGGAGCAGAAAACAAGAGCCAAAATTAACCTTTCCTCCACTGTGCTGTCTACATCAGCTATTTTGTCACAGTGACGGGACACTAACCAATATAAGAGAGAACCTAGCAGGGATTGTCAGAAAAGGGGACACTGGCAAAAAAGATGACTGGGAAGAAAACAGAAGTGCATTGGTCACTCCAGCCAGGACGAGCTTCATGAACAAAACCCTCTGGCAAATTACCAGTACCTGCAGCAGAAGCTACAGAGGCATGGCAGGCGAGCTGGCACCTCAGCCTGTGGACTGAGTGAGTGCAGCATTCTAGGGAGGAAGAAAATGAGGCACGTGTTTCAGAAGCTCCATTGGGGAGGCAAGTTAAAGAACAACACACAGTACCATGAAAAGGAAGGCACAGGAACGCTAGTGATGACTTCTGCCAGCATGGGTGGGAGCAGCGCCGGATGGAAAGCCGCTCAGGGTGCTAATCCATGATGAAGGCTGTAATATAATGATCAGGGTGCAGGATGACTCTGACAAGGAAGCCCTAATACAACAAGAGCAAAGATGTAGACATTTTCATCTGGGGCAGAGTACCCAGAGTATGCATGGATTACCAGGAGCAATCCCAGACTGTTGCTTGTTTCATAAATTAAGTTTTACAGACACTCAGCCATGCCCATTCATTTTCCTGCTGTCTAACCCCGGAGTCTCCAACCTTTCTGGTACCAGGGACTGTTTCCATGGAAGACAACTTTTCCTTGGGGGAGGGAGGAATTATTTTAGGGTCATTTTTAATTAGCAAATTTGTAATACAGAATTATACTCCCAGCGCTAGCATCACCACCTCAGCTCCACTTCAGATCAGCAGGCATCAGATTATCACAAGGAGCCACAACCTAGATCCCTCACACACACGGTCCACAGCAGGGCTTGAGCTCCTGTGAGAAACTAACACCACAGCCAATCTGACAGGAGGCAGAGCTCCAGGTGACCTGAGCACTGGGAAGCAGCTGCAGATGAAGCCTCACAGGCTCACCTGCCATTCACCTCTTGTGCTATAGCCTAGCTCCTGACAGGCCACAGAACAGTACCACTCCACAGCCTGAGGCTTGAGGACCCCTGATTTATACCTATGTCTGCATTACTTTTCCGGTTGCTGAGACAAAATACACAACACCCATATTTAAAGGAGGAAAGGTTTATTTAGCTCACAGATTGTAGAGGTTCCAGTCCATAATCATCTGGCTCCAAGGCAGGGTGGCAGAGAGGAAAAACAGTTCATGGTGGGCAGAAGGTAGCAAAGAAACAAGGGATGACCACAGCTCTTTCTATCCCTTATATCTTATCCAGGCTACTTGGGCGAGAAGCCCTCACACCTTCATGCTAGAGCCCTTGGTCCTAGCACTGCACCATGAATCAATTTAAAAAAGACTAAAACATTTATGGTCTGACCCAAACTATTTAACCAATTCTGGGTCTAGGGCAAATAGATGTCATCTAGGGACCCAGGTTGGAAAGACACATGACTGCAACCAGGGCTCTTCCATGTCAGCTCCAGTGAGTTTATGCAATGGCCACCATTTTCCAGTCAGGGAAAGAAGGAGAAGAGAATGTCAGCCTGGCCCAAGCCTCCTCCGTTGCCAGACATCGACTTGTTGCAGAGGGGCCTGGGGAACGCGGTCTCTGGCCACCCAGCTGTGGCTCCAGCTGAAATTCATGACTAGCACACCGCATCTACTCTGAGACACAAACATATTCACATTCTATCATCTCTGAAGCCAGGCTCATCTTCCAATCGCTGTCACTCTGAGGTGAAGTTGAATTTTTCTTGAATGGATCTGCATCTCTCCCTTCCAATAAACTAGCAGTATTCCCAGCATGAAACAACTTTAAATTCTCCACTTGTATCTTTTAAAATCACAAACCAATGTGAATACAGCTCTCCATTCAGGCTCTCAAAGGAAAGTGCTTTTTCCTCTCTCCACCAGTGTGACATGCTCCCTTCCTGAACTGCACCCTATGCCCTGCTTTTTAGTAGATAAATGTTTACTTTCTGTTCACTGAGGTGCAATCCTTTGGTGCCTTATTTTTTTTTTTGTAGGTTTTTTTCTTAGATTCCCCATTCTTGGGTGTTTTTTCTTCTCTGATATTAAGACATGGTGCATCTTGCAGTCACGGTGCCTCAGGTTTCATGGAATATGGTGAAAGAGAATGCTCAGTGATGTTGAACATTTTTTCATATGTTTACTTGCTATTTCCACTTCTTTGAGAAATGTCTGTTCATTTCAGATGCCCATTTTTGGACTGGATCTTTAAATTCCAGAGACGCAAATGAAAACAACACTGAAATTCTACCTCACCCCAGAAAGAATGGCGGCTATCATGAAATCAACCAATAACAAATGCTGGCCAGGCTGTGGGAGAAAAGGAACCCTTCTCCACTGCTGGTGGAAGTGTAGACTGGTGCAACCACTGTGGAAATGAGTATGGAAATATCTAAAAAAAAAAAAAGTAGGATTAAAGGTCCCATTTGATTCAGCTATTCCTCTGCTGGGTATCTTTCCCCCAAAATTAAAAGAATCTTACCACAGTAATACATGTGCACCCATGTTTATAGCGGCACAGTGTATAATAGCTAAAATTTGGAAACAGCCCAATTGCCCATCCACTGGAGACTGGTCAAAGAAGTTTTTGGTTTTTTAAATAAAATGGATACTGTTTACCTAAAATGTACCAATACACTCAATAAAAAAAAAAAAATAGAGTACTACTCAGCCATAAAGAATGAGAAACTAGAGACTTTTATAGTTAAATGGATGCACACTGAGATGACACTCTTAAGTGAAATAAGAAGGACACACATGTGTAAGTACCAAATAGTTTCTCTGGTGTGAGAAACTGAAAGTGCAAATCAGGATCAAAGTATAGGAGATAATGTGAAATAGGAAGAAAAGGTCCAAAGGGGAAGGGTAAGTAGGAGGGATAGAGGAAAGGAATAAATGAGACAAGAAAAAAATGGAAACAAAGTCTTTGTGAATAGGGAGGGGTGGAGGGGTTGAAGGGAAGGCAGAGGAATGGGGAAAAAATAAGAACCAAGGTACATCATGTAAAGGGTACAGATTCCCAGTAATGAATGTCAGCATATTGTACACCTAAAATGTACCAATAAACTTAATGAATAAAAAAAAAAGAAAGAAAAGACAATGCTTCAGGAGTCTGCTTCAGCTGTTAAGCAGAGGTCCAGAGAAGACCTGTGCAGTGGAGAAAAGTATCTTTACTCAACTCCCTTCTCAGGGAGAGGATTAAGAAAAGTGGGAATAAACTTCTTGAGATCTGCTGTATGGTGAAATCCGAGAGGCAGTTGTGAACATTCGTCTTTGACAGGTATGGGAGTGGGTTCAGTGAGGTGCTGGAGTTTGTTGTGACAAGCAGAGGAGGCAAGGTGGGGTGAAATGGGCTTCTTCCACACTGTCCCATCTTCAAAAACAACTGAACACATAAAGAAAGCAGAAGTCAGAAGAGACCCCAGACAGTTCATCCGCCCATGGGGCCACATCTCCCAGGAGGGCTGAAGAGGGTAGGAACAGGGTCCAGTGAGGGTTCGGGTGAGGACGGCGACAGAGGCAAAGGAGGCAGCGGTTTCTGGCCGGGTGATCCCGCGAGGCGATGCCAGTAACTAAACAGAAAACAACAAAAAGAAGCAGGTTTGGGCAACAAGGTAGAGAAGATTTCAGTTTGAGGCATCAGCCCATTCAACAGGAAAAGGGATAAAAAAGGGCCAGAAAACAAGTGCCCAAAACATAATCTAGAAAATATCTTTTCTTTACATTTTAAATACCATTCAATGATGAACTGGAGAGGATGCAAGAAAGAAGAGATGCTTGGGGCGTGGATAGGAACAGCAGGCTCTGAGTCAACTGAAAACAAGTGCGAGTGGACACCAGGCCGGGGAGGCGCCTGTGTGGCAGGGTGCTTGTCTAATGCACACACGGTCCTGGGCTGGGCTCCCAGCAACACAAAGACAAAAACAAAGCCCTGAACTGTCTCTGAGGTGTACATGTGTCGCACAACATACCGGGGACTCCCGAACCTCCCAGGAGCCCTTCCGACAGGCACAGCCTGAGGCAGGAGGTCGACAGCCGGGAAGCGGCTCGGCAAGGGCACGCGGCAGGGTCACAGTTGTCACCACAGTGCCTGCGGCTCAGTTAGGAGCGGCTCAGCCCCATCGGACTCTGCAGCAAGCTGCTTCCACCAGGCCGAGTTACCCGCACTGAGAAATGTCTCTGCCTTTGTCGGGGTGTCTCCTGCTGCTCACTCCCCTGCTTCCCTAGGACCCTTCGCTTTTCTTCTTGCTCTTCCAATCCTTCTTCCCAGATTCTCTAGCCTTTTCTTGACTGACTCTTCTTCTTCTACAGTGGACCTACAACTGTTTAAGTCAGGGGATGAGCACAGTAAAAAGGCAACGAAACAAAGCAATAAAGTAAAGTGAAGAATCAAAAACAAAACAAAAGGGCCGGAGATTTAGCTCAGTGGTTCCAGCACCTGCTTCGCAAAGTCAAGGATCCATGTTCGGTCCCTGGTACCAATAAATAAATAAACAAACAAAACAAAAAAGCCAGAATTCAAAACAAAGATTTATAAACCTCAAAATTCACATATGTCAACTTTAATTTTTCAAATAGAAATATACAATTAAGAAGATATTTCACAGAGAGCAACACACAGACACGTCAGTCCAGAGCCTCATTAGGGTGGGATCAGCGGTAGAAAGTGGTTGTAGTGTTCCTGACTATAAAACTCTTTGCTAACGGAGTTAGAAATCCATTTCCTGCTGCCTTTATGCCTCCTGAAGAGGAAATTCTCCCCTTAGTTACGCTGTCCCTTGTTGGCCTTCTTCGCATTCCTGTCAGGACTTCTGTCCCAAATTTCTTCCAGGACATCCTGCTGGTGCGAGCACCACCCTGTAGGGGACGCTGCACAACACAGTGCTACGGCAGGCACAGCGGTTAGCATAACCCCCAGGGGAAACAACACCGAGGCTCAGGAGCCTGCTGAGGAGATAAATGCTCACGAGATAACCCCTGCCACTCAATAAAAACAGCAGGAATGCATGGCTCACGTAGGCAGCTTTTTTGGTGTGGAGGAGGCTAAGGGATGAGACCAACTATTTCAGTTTTTGTGTGTATAAAGTGAACCTTCATCTTCTATAACATCTTTTGACATGCATGTAAAATGTAACCATGAAGAGGGCGTGCTGGTGCACTGCTATAATCCCAGCACTGGGGAGGCTGAGGCAGGAGGATCACAAGTTCAAGGCTAGCCTGAGCTACATAGTGAGATCAAAGATAGCCTGCACCACAAAGCAAGACTGTCTCAAAAAAAAATTAATTAATTTAATTTAATTTAAAAATAAAATGTAACCATATATATTTGAAAAACACCAAAGGAGTCAGGTTTTTTAGGAGTTTGTTGTAAAATGAAAAGGATTCTAAGCACAGTGCTGCATACACATTATAGTCTTTAAATGCAGAAAAGCAGTGAATGTAGGAAATCAAGGAAATTATTTTGTAGAATTTTTTAAATAGTATCTGAAAAGGGGAAAATAACCCTACTTTTCCAGCCTTTGAGTTAACTAGAGCTATTAATAACAAAACTTATCAAATGGATACATATTGAAGATATACTCCTAAGTGAAATAAAGAAGTCATACATGTGTAAATACCGAATAGTTTTTCTCTGGTGTGAATAATCTGCAATAATACATAAGATCCTAATAAGATTACTGACATTTAGAAATGGGAAGAAAGGAGCTAAAGGTGTAGGGAAGGTGGGATGGGTAGGGGAAGAGTAAAAAGGGAAAAGAAAAAAATGTGAGATAATGAAAAGATGGAAATAAAGTGTTTGTAGATGGGGAGGGGAGGAGGGGGTGAAGGGAGGGCAGGGGTAAGGGGAAAAAATGAGAATCAAGACTTGTCATGTGGAGGTACAAGATCCCAACAATGAATGTAACTGTACTGTACCCCTAAAATGTACCAATAAACTCAATTAAAGCTGAATAAAAAATAACAAAACTTATCATCACCAGTTCAGTCCTGCACAGGTAAAAGGCCTTTCCCGAATTGGAACTAAATTCCTTCCAGGACAAGCAGAAAGGGGTAAGTAGGGAGGGGCACACCCACTACGCACTTCAGGCTCCTCAGACAATCCGGGAATCAGGTTACCATTTAATAAATCAGTGGTGCCTAATATCTTCTAATGATGCAAAATAAAAAGTGAGTTTAAAACAACTGAATTTTAGATGTGAAATTATTTAAAACTTAAGAAGCGCTCAGTACATCCCAAACTATTTAAGATCACAGAGCAGACTGCTGCATCCGCCACAGTGAACGTTCCAGCCCCCCTTACGGAGCAAAGGCCCGGATACCCAGTCTGTGGGGTGAGTCAGCTGCTCCCCAGCCACCCTGAGGCCCTCCCTGGGAACTGCCCTCCACGGAAGGGCGCTGCCCCACCCAAGTGCCCACTCCCTCAGCGGCAGCCCACTTTGGATGACCCTTGTGGCCCGGCCCAAGCTTCTATGGGACCTTCATCGCAGGCCAGCCCTTCCCCTGCCCAGGCCCGCTCCCTCACTCCTGCAGGCGCTGCTCTGAGCGCTTCCCAGCCAGCCTCCAGCATTAGCAACGCTGCCTCGAGCCAATCCCCAGGGCTCCACCCGCATCATCACTAAGCCAAAATCCAAAGTGAATTGGTTATACGTGTATTCAGGTTTTACAGTGATCAGGGAACTACTTCCCTATTGGCCATTCTAAGATTGTAAAGAAAATGTTTCAGACAGTGAAAGTCAAGTAATAAGCAGCCACAGAATTCAGAAATAACGCCTGTAGATTTATTCAACCCCCTTAAGAAAGGCTGTGTTGGGGATCTAGAAAGTTAACAGTAAGTTTACCCCAGTTACTGTGTTGGAAAAATTCCCCATTCTTAGGCTGACTCTATCCTGCCTGAAATGCAATCAACCCAGGCAGGATACAGAAGTCTCCAGCAATTAAGCTGATGTGAGGCCCACATACAGCAGAAAGCCTGGTCCAAAGGGATGTTCAGTGGCAGAGAAAAGCTATCTCTACAGAAAGCATTCCAGTTTCAATGGGCTTTTCCCCTTGAATATTTAATAGAGCAGAGAGCAACCACATGTGATTCTTATTCCATGATATCAATATTATATATATTGTCTTTCTTCCCAAAGGGCAAATGGCATCATGATTCTGTATTTCCATTTATTTCAAAGGTTCATTTTCCTAAGTAGGTCGTAACAGGCAACTGTCTTTCCTCCTCTTTTGTTATCACTGTGTCCTATGTACAAAACCAGCTTCCCTCTCCACATCCTGTGCTCCTGTGTCAACATGAACACCTCACCTTTCCTTTCCTGCCTCTCACTTCTGTATGAGTAAAAGAGGCTCCTCGATACAACTACCTCCCATCTGAATCAGACCAGAGAGGCCTGGCAAGAAGCTGGCTAGAGGGTCCACTTCCCGTTCTCATCTTTATTCAATCTGGAGCAGCCCTCCCGCCCTCCCCACTGCCCAAGCTGCTGACCAGAAGTGGGTTTCTAGGCAGGAACACACCTATGTGTCCCTCTCTGTCTCTGCAGTATCACCACCCCCAGTTTTATCTGATCTGAAGAGTTTTTGCAAACACTAGGGTTGGTGTTGAGGCCACCCCTGGAAGTGGTCACTGCAAAAGCTAAACAGACTTGGCTTCGAGCACAAGAGCTGCAGCTGTGGAGAAATCGATTATCCTATTGATGCCTCAATTTCCTAACCCACTCAAATGTGGATAATGCTTCTGAGCTCACAGTGTTGTGAGAATAAAACTGAACTGTACTAATGTCTACACAGCAACCACCTAACACACAACAGTGGGCACGATCCTACAAAGGACAGCTAGTATCTCTTGACAGATCAATGGTAAAGCCATACGATTCCCCTTGATGTGAGATGGATTAGAGTCATGCCAAACAGACACAGTATGGGAGGAAGGCACACCATAACCTTGCAGAAGACACACCTGGTTCTGTCTGAGATCCTTACAGAAAAGCCTGCTATTGGTTTTGCCCTCAACTCTGTTGGGATCAAACTCAGGCCCCTGAGTTCCAACCTGATGACCACTCTGCCCTGTCCACCACCCAGGGCAGGCTGCTCTGGGAATGGAACCTGGGGACAACATAATTTTCTCTGCAGGAGCACAATGTGGATGGGATGGAGACAGATTCCAGAGACTGCAGCATGAAGATGGTAAATGGAATCTCCGGGGAAGATGCATATAGGGGCATGGAGGACTGAAAGCAGGCACTGGGCGAGAATCAGGGAGGATGGTAAAACACCGTGAAGAGAAGCTGAGGAAAGAGTGTCATGGGAAACAAAGGTCTAAAGGTTCAAGCTGGAAAAACTGACCCATTAATGACTCACAAAATCAACACTCTTAGTTGTGATCAGCACTGAAAGACAATGGAACAGGACACATTGGAGTTTCTTATCCATAGTTAAGGATACATACTATATTGGGAAACCCATTTCAGCTGTGTATGTATATGTGTGTGTGTGTGTGTGTGTGTGTGTGTGTGTGTGTACTGTGAATGAAAACATAGTTAATGTTTTAATTAATTTTTTTATTACAGTAGAAGACACAGTGCCATTAATTCCCCTTGCTTCAGATACACTTATCCATCATTCCTGCCACTTCCTGTGGCAGCTCTGGAAACCCTCTTTCATTTCTTTTCATTTCACTGCCATGGCTGCCTCGAGGTCCTGAATTGATTCAAAATATTTACCTTTCATGGTTATTTTGAATTTGAGGAAGAGCCAGAAGTCACAGAATGCCAGATCTGCTGACGAAAGTAGATGAAGACATACCGTAATGTTTTTATTGGACAAAAATTATTCTGAACATTGTGAATCAATTCAGGACATCGAGGCAGCTGTGACAGCATGACTAAAGACACTCACGGAAGAGGACTTCCAGAGCTGCGGCAGAGCGTGGCAAGAATGATGGGTTAAGTGTGTCTGAAGTAAAGGGGAATCTTCTGAGGGGCAGTGTCTTTCACTGTAATACATTTCTTCAATTTCATCATTCACTGTGTTTTATGTACACATAGTTTAATGGGTTGCTACATAAAAGGTTCCTTCCTCATAGGCAAAAATGCTGGAAAAGCACTGAGGTAGGAAACTTGAGGAAAGGGTACTGTCCAGAGTCCAAGGGCTGCATCCGTACCCATGAGACATGGCCACAGGTATGCATGCGGACCTGGCCAGAGCATCTTCGTGAATTGGAGCACTGGAAGCAGAGTCCCTACACAGGTGAATGGGAATTTAGAAGGCAGGCGAATAGGAGCAGATCTCTTTCGAAAGACCCTGGCAAAGAAGATAGAAGAGGGTGACAGCTACGGAGGGACTTAAGGTCAAGGATTCTTTGATTTCTCAGGGGAGGATTTAAAGGCGCTTACGAAAGCAGCTGAAGATGTGAGAGGCAAAGCAGACAGTTCACTGAGCAAGGTTGAGAAAAGATCAGGGAGTGGCTACAAGAGCTAGCTGTGATGAGGGATGAGATCTAGGGGGAAGAGAGAGGCCAGAAGAAGCAGGTATGGATGCATGGTGTAGGCAGTAGACACTGGTGATCCACATGTGAAAGCCTGAATTCCCTCCACTGGGTGAGGCGGACATTCTGAGAACCCAAATGGGTTGCTGTAACTATTTTTTAAATACTGCATCTCTTCCTATAGGATGTTAGATAGCTTCAGCTGTATTCACAGACCCTTCAAATTATGGAGTGGTGCTGCTTAGCTGGTCTTATAAGGATACTGGAACCCAGGATGGGCACCGAGGGCACGCCCCAGCGCCTGTGCACTTGGACAGCAGGGCGGCCACAGGCGTGTCTCAGAGCACCCCTGTGGCAGCACAGGCCATGCTGTTGGTGAGGACCAAGATGCCAGCCCACTTGGAAAGCCCAGGTGTCCAGACCTGTGAGAGCCGGGCAGCACACCCCGCACCCTTCTCTAAGGACAAAAAGTAGCAGGTGGCACCTTTTGTCTCTAAAGGGCCAGACAGTTAATTATTTTAGATTTTCAGAAACTTTTGGTCTCTGTAAAGTAGAAAGTGGGCGAGATTATATTCAAACAAAACATTACTTATAAAAAAGGCAGTGGACCACAGTTTAAGAACCCCCGCACTTTAATATTTTAATAGGAATATAAGGAAAAAGATTGTTCTAAGATGTTCTAGAAGCAAATCAAGGAAGAGGGAAAAACATCATTTAGATAGAAAACACTTCAAAAGGAATAAAAATGTACAAATAAACTGGAAATAATGATATGATGAGTAATTATCACTTCAACTCAGATCTGTAGGACAGTGTATATA